CCTGTCTTAATCTCTTACTGTATTGATGTAACAGGGATCACTAAACAATGTAATCTTCATTGTACAGTTGATGGTTTCTGGTCAATTGATAAATTTCTCATTTATTTAGAAATCATATTAGCTTTGAGGTTCCTGATCAATTATGCTGTGTATTATTTATTATTTTTTAAACATAAATAGGAATTTGATATATCTCTAACTTCCTTTTTGGTGGTAAATCAAGTCACAAATGCTCTATTGTCTAGAATCCTGAGTGACATCTACTTAGCTTGCTCTTTGCTAATAAATATTTCAGGTTATGTTTTATTTTATTTTATTTTTTAAAATATATTTTTATTGATTTCAGAGAGGAAGGGAGAGGGAGAGAGAGAGAGAGAAACATCAATAATGAGAATTATTATTGGGGATAATTATTATTATCCCCTTACTGGGGATTGAGCCCACAACCCCAGCATATGCTCTTGACCAAAATCAAACCCAGGACCCTTCAGTCTGCAGGCTGATGCTCTATCCTCTGAGCCAAACTGGCTAGAGCTCAGATTATTTTAAACTATACTTAGATTTTTTTTTTCTTTTTTAAAGTTTTACTTTGGATCCCCTCTACACCATTAGATTCCTTTACTTTTGGTATGTCTGCCCAGCAAGGATTCTAAACAAGAGCATTTTCCCTGGTTTAGATTTTCCCTCATCAAAGTCTATGGACCTTTCCTTTAAAAAGAAATAGAGGAAGTTCCTGTGAACAGAGTGGTTGGCACATTCAGTATTTACTTACAGGAGTGAGTTCTGCAGGACGGTCCAACTCTAGGACTTTGTACAATGGCAGCATAAAAACAACAGATCATAGTTCTATGAATGTCATCTATATTATGTCAAAGAGAAAAACATCAAATTCATTCTGAATCAGATCAAACTGAACAGTTCAAAGAATGTTATAGAGGTGGAAATGCAGTCAATTTATTGAATTGGGAATCACAATGTTCAGTGTTTAGATAGAATAGATTAAAATGAAAGTTTCTAAAAAATATTTATTAAAATCTTTCCAAGGCTTTTGGATCCCATTCCATTATTTTATTTGGGGGGATTTTTTGCAATGTGGCACATCATTGCTGAGGTGTCCTCATGGAGTCCCATGCGGTTGCCCCCCTGTAATGCCCTGTGTGGGTCCCTCACGCAGTACCCTGTCCTCAGCCCAGAAAGAAGGCTGTGACAACTAAGAAACCAGCGGTTGTGCTGTGAGTAAAAACAGAGAAAGCAGATTTTTCTGTCAGTGAATGTGCCTCTTTCAAATTTTTGGAAGAGAATTTCTCTGCCATTTATTCAGGAACAAATGGGCACTTGGTTAATACAGCACCAAATATATCAGTGAAGTTTTTTAAAAGCCAGTAAAGAGTGCTTTTTTCCTGCACCCAGGAAACTATGTCCACCTTCTTATAACTGATATGCTGCTGTGTAGAGCTGCCTAGAGTGTCTCATTAGCAAAACATAGGTCATGTTTTAAAACTACAGGGCCAATCACCCACCCACACAATTTTGTTCTCTTCATAAGCAAACCTGGGGATAAAATATAGTAATTTCTAAAATAATAAAACTATTGACATCAGGGTGATAATTAGCTCATAGCCATAGCATCTTCCATACCGCTCAGTAAATGCCAAATCTCACCTCAGCAACCTGTTCTGTTTAGATGCTTCCTAATGTTGAATGAACTCATATTAAATCTCTTATATAATAATAATAAAAGCTAGCCCTAGCCAGTTTGGCTCAGTAGATAGAGCATCGGTCTGCAGACCAAAGAATCCTGGGTTTGATTCCTGTCAAGGGCACGTATCTCAGTTGCAGGCTCCTCCCTGGCCCAGGCCCTCATCAGGGCACGTGCAGGAGGCAACCAATCGGTGTGTTTCTCTCACATCGCTATTTCTCTCTGTCTTTCCCTCTCTCTTCCACTCTCTCTAAAAATCAATGGAAAAATATCCTCGGGATAGCCTCAGGATTTAAAAAAAAAAGCTAACCTTTGTTGAGTAATTAATATGTATTGTCTGAAACATATATGTCTATTATCTCATTTAATACTCACTACGACTCTATAAGGTACGTACTATTAATAGTCTATTTTACAGATGAGTAAATTGAGGCACAGAGTAGCTAAGTGACAGCCTGAGGTCACACAAGCAATAAGTACTAGTGTATTAAAAGACAGATTGTCTGAGAGATAACTGTTACTCGTCAGAAAAGAAAACACGAGTCTTAAGAAGCAAACAGGAAATTAAAGTTTTCCTTCTGCCACAGGAGGACCATAATGGAATTTTTTTCTAAAAGATTATTTTAGAAAGCAGGAGATGGACCATAACATTATATACACTAAATTTGGGGGGGGGAGTCCCCCCAGGCATTGACCTTTATTACTGAGATTTGATTTGGAAGCCCATTTTTATAGCTCAGTTAAAAACTGCCAAACCCAGGCACTTACATAATAGAAATGCTGACATGACCTTAATTCCAGAGGTGCAAAGGGTATAATTGAATTTAAGAACAATGTATCTCATCCATTAAGTCATTAAATAGATCTTAGCAGCTTGACACATTTGGTAAGTACTCCCTGAAAATGGTTAACAATAGTATGCAAATAAATGAGCTTGCATTATTAGCTACTGCATTTTAGGTTGTGTTTCCAAATATAACATTAAATTATAATAGGCGTTTAGAAAGTGTTGTGGCAATACATTTTAAATGCTCCTGAACACAATGCCAACATAGAGAAAGGGAATGTTAGCATCTACAAGTTATTGCCAAGTGCCTAAGTGTGATTCAGATAAGTTATATTGACTGTTGATAAAATTATACTTAATCAGAAATACATCTTTTGACCCAAATTTCTGGAATTACGCCAGTGGTGTGTTGCCTCTGGTTGAAGAGCATATATAAGGATGCTAACTAAATGCCAAAACCAGAACATTGCTCTACACAGATGTATATGTGGCACTGTTGAGAAAAAACATCCAGATGTTTGGCCTCCTTCAACCAAATGCCTAAATACAAGTGAAATCAAGAATTTAACACACATTCAGGGAATTTAATCAATCCAGTTGGGCTCATTCTACTGCAAAATAAAACAAAGCCAAACCCTGCCTTCTTTTTTTTTTTTCTTTTTTTAATATATTTTATTGATTTTCCACAGAGAGGAAGGGAGAAGGATAGAGAGCTAGAAACATCGATCAGCCGCCTCCTGCACACCCCTACTGGGGATGTGCCCGCAACCAAAGAACATGCCCCCGACTGGAATCGAACCTGGGACCCTTCAGTCCGCAGGCCGATGCTCTATCCACTGAGCCAAACCGGTCAGGGCTCCCTGCCTTCTTTTTTAAGGTCAGGGCTAGAGACCTGGATTTTCAATGTACATTATCTCGAATCTTCTTCTACTTTGACTGCTTATAAATTCCGTAATGAAGTGTATAATGATTTCAGTGCAACCGAGAATCCAGTAGTGCAAAGCTTTGGCCCTCAGAATCCAACAATTATTCTAAATCACCTGCTTGTTTTCTTTTCTTTGCTAATATAGCAAACAAGAGTTAATAAATAAGAATATAGCTAATAACCTTTCCAGGTAAAAGTTGGTCATAATAATTGCAAACATATTCAAATATCTTACTTTAGGCTTATATATAGGCAGCAAGTCATGGATAAAAATAGTGCCCTTATATAAAAAGTTATATAACACAGTGACAGAAAAATTGAAAATGTCAGAAATCACTGCCACCGTGAAATAGATTAAAACAACCAAGGGTTTTCATTGAATGTAAGTAATTCAATGTGATAGATCTATTGCAGAAATGGCTTCTGTTTTTCCCCCTCCTTACACCACCTCTATACATCTCCTCCAACCAGGATGTGCCATTTATTTGTTCCACACGCCCATCCTTTGAACCAATCTGTTTTGCAACTTGTGTTGGTCTCTAGATTGTGGTGGATATGAGGGGGGGGCCACACTTAGCCGAGGCCTTGAGAGGCAGCGTGTGCACTTATTTGCACTCATGCTCCTCTACCTTTGCCGCGAGAGCCACTCTGGCCCACCTGCTAAAGAATAAGAGACCATATGAAAGAGCCAGATCATCCCAGCTGTAGCCATCCTAAACCAGCCGGCCACAACTGACCCACCAGCTGGCAACAGATACACAATCCAGCTCAACCGAGCACTGACCAGGCCCTGACCAGCAGGACCCACCGGGCTCATTTGTAGGCGTCTGAGAAATATAAGTGGTTGTTTTAAGCCAGTAAGTGTTGGAGTAACTTCTTATGCAGCAATAGATAATTGATTTAATCAATGTCAGACAAATTTTTTACAGCGAAATAATGCAAATATCGTGATTATCTAAATATTACTGACACTTGAATTTACATACATTTAATATTTTTAAATGCAGTGTCATAGTTTAGACAAGTATGATTGTGTGCTAGATAAGACACATATGATTCTCTTCATTTTAAAGATGAGAAAATGGAGACAAAGAAATCCAAATTATTCATCCAGTTGGTATTGAGGAAAGAAGGGGGGGGTTAGGATAGATTAAAGAGTAGAATCCGCTTTAAAACCTCATCAATTTCCAATAGTCCTTAGGGTCTTAACTGGCTGTATTGTGAGTTTGATTTAAGGATTTAAAATATCAGCACACTGGTACCCCAGGTAATATGGCATGTTCTATTCTCACCATTAGGGAAACAAAGTATTTCTGCCTCTAATAAATTTGCTAAAACAACAAAAAAAGGATGTCTCAATACCCGGCCAGTGTGGTTCAGTAGTTGAGCATCGACCTATGAACCAAGAGGTCACAGTTTGATCCCTGGTCAGGGCACATACCCAGATTGTGGGCTCCATCCCCAGTAGGGGGTGTGGAGGAGGCAGCCAATTGATGATTCTCTGTCATCATTGATGTCTCTGTCTTTCTCTTCCTCTTCCTTCATCTCTCTGAAATCAATTTTTATTTATTTATTTATTTATTTATTTAAAATGTTACAGGTCTCATTGTCACCACTATAATAAGATTACTGTGATGGAAGCATAACCTGTCTCTCAATGTAGCCACATTAACAAATTTCTGGACACTCTGAAATCAATTTTTTAAAAAATGCCTTCCAGAAACCTGCGCATAATTTAATAGTAATTGTTTGTCTCGGGCTTCCATGGTGTTTATCCTTCACTGAGAAGAAAAGGGAGCAGGGAGAACATTCACCTCTTACTTTGGTGTCAACCTTTGGAGTACTTAATAAACTAATTAAATTAAAGATTCAGAATGTACCAATCTTTGCATGGAGATAACCACTGAGCAATCAATGATAATTTAAAAAATCAATTGGTCTTCTGTAGTAATTAAATTTGCCCACTTAGATATAATTGATATTGTTCGCAACTAATTATCCAACTAAGGGCTCTGAGGGACTTTTAGAGACTGAAGGATTGAGCCAAAGATTCTTCCTCATGTGAAATTGGACAGAAGGCCATGTTTTCTCAAAAACTGATTTAGTCTTCCCGGGAAACACAGTATTGAACAAACCCCAAAACAGTCAGGAAATCAGTATTTCATTAGGGGCAGTTTAGCGCACTATCTGGGATTCCGTGTGTGACCCTGGGCTAATCATTTAATCCTCGTGTTTCAGTGCCCTCATCTATAAAACGGAGTTGTAAGCATTAAGTTACTAGTAATAAAGTGTTTAGAACAGTAAGCTTTGTATTGATATCATTTTTAGCTATCTCTTCATAAGATCTTCAGAAAGAATGGCAAGATAGTCACCAATCACAGGTTTATTCCATTGTTTCATTCTCTCTTGCACCTAATTTCTGTAGGCATTTTGCAGTTAAGGGTTACCACTGGCCTTTCCCATATTATGAGATTCGATTGTTCTCCATGGGATTAAAAAATTGCTAACCTAGGAAAATGGGAACTTCACATTTGCTGTGTGGCATATCTGATTACAAGTTATTAAGCCAATCCTCCCTTCCCTCTCATAAGCAATTCATTTCTCAGCACCAGAGGGGAAGAATAATCATAAAATAAAATACAGGATGATCTTATCGCTGATGCTTAGCATTTGTATATTCACTTAAAAAGGTAGCAGAGCAATTTACGGCAGCCCTCAGGCAGCCTAAATGACATGTTAGCAAGTTATATAGATATGCTATTACCTATTTATTCTGATATTCAATGCAAAAATGTCAGGGAGATCGCTCCTTAAGTACACTAAATTACTGACTCCTGGGGCTGGAAAGTACCGAGAGAAGCTATTAGCTATTGAACCTATCGCCTGGATAAGAATCTATGGCCCATGTAGATGTGAACCTTTCCAAATTCTAGAGAAAGCTATTAAACTAGCTTCTACATTAAGATTCTCACTCTTCCAGGAAATTCTTTTCAAGGTGTTCTGGCTTCAGCATTAGTACATGTGCACTTGTTCTATCATTTGATGGAATGAAAAAAGCTGAGGAGCCTTCTGACCCAGGCAGCACTTCCTTCAGTGCTCTCCTTTGTCCCAGAGCTGTTTTGGCCAGCACCAAGGAGACCACCCTCTTGTCCTGTAACCTACCTTCTCATAGGAGATGAAATTACCAATATTCTACACACTCTGTTCTGACAATGCAGGAATCGTCTCTTGAGCTTAGCAGTCCATGTTTGTCTTCTTTGACCTTCTGAAATACCCATCAGTCCAATAAGAAAAGGGAATAGCTTTGAGATCAAACCCTCCTTGTTACTGCCCATAATGGGTGAAGCTATCTAGCGAAGGATCAGAATTTGAGCACAAAGGCCAGCAGCAGTTCTTGGCACGTTGCAGCTCCTAAGTAAATGTAGAATGGATGAAGTGCAATTTGTATGGATGAAATGCAATTAAAAATTAAACTCTTCAGTTTCTAAGTATATTTTTAATTAAGGTGGTCAACCACTAAGCAGTCCAACTCTCCCTCACCCAGGCCTTGCTTCCCTCGTGCTCTTACAAGCGATGTTCCCCAGAGCTCCCTCCTTTCAGACCTGTAATGTCTGTCTCAGAATCTGTTTCGCAGGGAACTGGCCAAGGGTACTTTCCCACATGAAATAAACTTCAGGATAACAAAATAGTTGATGAGGGAGAGTTTTTTCAAAAATAAATAGAAAAAGAATGATATAGTAAGACTAACACCATTTCACAGATTTCTGATCAAATAATGGATCTAGGCCAGTGGTCAGCAAACTGCAGCTCGCGAGCCACATGCGGCTCTTTGGCCCTTTGAGTGTGGCTCTTCCACAAAATACCACGTGCGGGCGCACATGTACAGTGTGATTGAAACTTCGTGGCCCATGCGCAGAAGTCGGTATTTTGTGGAAGAGCCACACTCAAGGGGCCAAAGAGCCGCATGTGGCTCGCGTGCCACAGTTTGCCGACCACTGATAGGCAATGATCCTCAATGACTGCTGATAGCACAAAAAGAGAGACAAATGGATATTACATTGCCGGAAGCCGGTCCATCCTTGCTGCTTGACACAGTCGCTGCAGGAAAGAAACATCTGCACAGCATATGTTTCAAGGGACCTGGCGTATATAGCATACTGTTCTTAATATGTTTGCTCCCCTTAGCGCTGTGTGTTTTAACCAAGGTCACCTCTCCAAGAAAGGTTGTTTCCCCAGGTAGGAATTTTTCCCTGAAGTCAGGGAGGGGATGCCTCTCCTAGAAAGGTTGTTTCCCCAGGTAGGAATTTTTCCCTGAAGTCAGGGAGGGGATGAAACTCCTTAACTAAGTGCCAGGCGGGCAGTTAATCACTACAAACAATCATGCTTAAGCTACATAATCTTTACTCCCTGGAATGGAGATAAGAAACGCCCTAACCTTTGTAATAGAAATTGACAGGATTAAAATCAACTGGTATAAATATGGATGTAACAAGACAATAAACAGCAGAACTTCGCTGGAGATCCAGACCAGAACTTGGCTGGAGATCCTGGCTAGAGATCCTGGCTAGGCTGCTGATCAACTGAACGCTGTCTCCGTGTCCTTCCTTCTTCACCGACTCCGTCTACACCTTTGGGGACCCCTGGACCTGCTGGGGTTGGACCCCGGCATTACATGTCTCCTGATGGAAACACACCCACCACCTATAGGGTATTCTTGCAAAAAAAAAAAAAAATTAACCTGAATTAGGCTAAATCTCTAGATCCAACTATAAGAAATATAGGGACAGAGAGTCATGTTAAATGATACCATGAGGATACAATTTTTACTAATAAAATCCAGAGTGTAAAAAACTCAACTGGACAGTCCAGTTTCTACAATAAATAGCTTATAAAGGGAGAGGCGGGGGAGGGAGGGAGAAACCTATTTAATAAATTACAATAAGGAGACTTTAAAAATAGGCTATAAAAAATTGAGATGATTGGGGAAATTTTAACCTTCATTAGATATCTGATAAAATTAGACATTCTGTTGATTTTTAGGTGGATTATAGTATTGTGAATATTTTTAAAAGATCTTTACCTTTTAGGGACATATACTGAACTTGACCAATGAAATGACTTGATGTCTGAGATTCACTCTAAAATAAGCGAGGTGGCAGTAGGGATGAGGAGTGAGTAGAGGTATGGATAACACAGTTTTGGCCGTGAGATGATAACTGGTAGCGCTGGCCAATAATACATGGAGGTTCGTAATAGTATTCCTTCTACTTTTGTATACATTTGAAAATTTCAATAAAAAACAATATAATATAAAAACAATCCCACTGAGCGCTAAGCAGAATAACTGAAATGCAGTGCCCAAGATTCCCCACTGTGAAAAGTGGTAATTTCTTTTATTTCGCCACTTTCAAATAATACATTGTAACTCATGGTATTGAACTATAATACAATAAAAGGAGCATAATGATAAAATTCCTTATGGATTTAAGGTTAAAACATAGAAGATCCCAAAAATACATAAAATAATTTAAGAGGGACATTACATCCTAATCTATATAAAAAGTGGAAAACAATGGCTATTTTTGAAGGGGAGAGTAATTTTAAAGACATTAAATGGTAATCAACTCATTTAAGCAATGATACTACAGAATAAATATTTCTATAGAACATTTTATTTTTTCATTATGGAATAATTAGAACAGACTAGGAAAAGGAGAAGTCTTCCATTAAAGGTTTTCTGATAAAATATATGACACCAAGTTACATGTGAATTTCAGATAAACAAGGAATAATTTTTTTCTGGTAGGTATGTCCAAAATATTTTTATTTTCTAAATCTGCAATCCTACTTCTAATTCTTTAGCTAGTTTTTCCCCAGCTTTATTGAAACATAACTGATATATAACATTCTATAAGTTTAAGGCGTACAAGTGATGATTTGGTATATTGTGAAACACTTTTGCTTGTTTTTGTAGTTAATTTTTTTCATTCTTACCACCATCTGACCGCCTGTCCTAAAACGTTGTCCATATGGTACTTCATTAAGGCGACTATTATTTAAAACCTCTCATGTTAAGAGGCCAAGGGAGATTTCCAGCACTGTCACCTTGGAGATTGCAATTCTGGTACAGGTATTTAATTTTGAGATCTCAAAACACCAACAGAAAAATTATCCCCTAGAGAATGAGGAATCTGGAAAGTGTTTTTGACAGATCCACCACATTCTTGCAACAGCAGAGGCTGCCTGCCACTTTGTTCTCTCTCCTCCTCCCCTTCCCCCTGCAATAACACACAAACTGTATTAATCAACCAGATAATGGCGGTGGTGAGTGGGGGGTGATGAGGGCTCCACTGTACTTACTGCGCTGATTCAACCAGACATATGGCTAGAGGTGGGAAAAATGGGAACCAGAATGTGGCCCCTTCGTCCCAACCACAGTCCTTTAGAGATGACCCCATCTCTCCTACGTCTCCAGGACTATGTATTCATATTTGGGCTGTTTTCAGAGTTCTTTCCTACACTTTCCTTTGCTACTCAGAAAAACTCTGAGAGATTAAACAACTGGCCAAAGGTCACACATTTGGTTGAACCTTGTACTCCTGATCCTCATCTCAGGATTCTTGGCACCGTAATTTAAATAAGATTGATCTTTGATAAAGTTAGTTATTCCAGCCACTGGAGTTCCTGTGAACTAATAACAGTTCTGGACCCAGCC